GGAAAATGGGTCAGCCAACAGTGAAACAGAGAGCACTACAACACCAGCCAAAGAAGTGAGGACTCGCTCCCGTAGAATTGTGAAAGCACCAGCCCGTCTGGATCTGTAAGAGACTTAGTGCACTCCCTTGTGTGGATTGAACTTGAACATTCTATAAAACATTCTAGTTGAACATTGCCTTGAAATGTTCTCGTCTTAATGGTGGCAACACTAAGTTGGATCAGTTGGGACAAACCTGTTATAACCCCATTAATGCTTTTCGCTGTTGTGTTTATATTGTATTTCATTTATTTTATTTATTATTATTATTTTTTTTTTAACAAAAGAGGGGATGTTACATCATGCATTGTCATAGCTTGTTACATCATGTATTGTTATAGTTGGTCTTAGCATGCCTTGGGGGGCGTAATAAAAAACGTGGCGTCCTTCTTTGATTTCCTTATGTTTTCGTGCGGCCACAACACTAGCAGCAAGAGTACAACAGCAGCCAATGTTCACCTTATGGAATCTCTTGTAGATAACTGGCTGAAGAATAACCATATTACCGTAGATATAATATATTACCTTCACAGTCTGCTTGTACCTGGGGTTTTTTTAATAGTTTTAGTTTCCAAACTTATTTCTCAACCACGTTAACCGGTGAAGGAGCAAAGACACTCTGGCATCAAAAGAAGTAGACACGGCCGATTTTATAAATTTGAGCCAGAGATTTTCTCTTGATTTGAGTGAACAGCTCGAATTCATACCATAGGCTTTCGCAAGTGGAGGAATAAAATTATGAAGTTGGTATTAAAAAAGTATGGCAAGCCGTTTGTAGCAAAATTTAATCCTTGCAATAGATGTTTAATCCCTTAAATAATGGTTTTATTTAAACATAGAAAAAGGCATTCAATCCAATGGTAAATAAAATTTTTGATTCAATTCAATCTTTTAATTTTCATGATTCAATCCAATACCTGGAATATTGATTCAATCCAATACCTCGAATATTGATGCAATCCAATACCTCGAATATTGATTCAATCCAGTACCTCAAATATTGATGCAATCTTCCTGGGCCGAGTGCGGCCAACAGGAACGAGAGTAACTGAGCACTAGAGAGCACTGAATATATGGCGGGCGAAGGAGAACTAGATTTAGAAGTTGAGTTTCCTTAGTCTCTTGCAGACATCTTGGATAAAACGGAAATAATATTTGAGAATTTTGACTCAAAAGTTACAGAAGCGCACGCCGAAGTTCTTGATCAAACCATTAGTCTACTTAGGTAAATGAGGCATTACTACAACCGAGACACAAGGGACACGGAAAATTTAGATTCCATTGCTGCCGCTTTTGTAGATGTGCTCTAGCGTTCAGTTACTCTCGTTAATGTTGGCCGCGCTCGGCCCAGGAAGATTGCATCAATATTTGAGGTATTGGATTGAATCAATATTCCAGGT